AGAACTACGGCAGATATGTAATATTTAATGCAAGCCGAACCGTGTATTACAATGCCGTTATGTGATGACTTTCAAAGAGTAAAGCAAGCACACTCGGAATAAAGTATTATTGTATTTTTAAAAACGTTTTCAGATTTCACATCACCATAAACACCAAATCCCAGCATGCATTACGGATAAACCATCCAATCATCGAGCTGAGGATCTTGCCTACGTCTGTTTCCGGTTTCGTTTAATGACCGATGTATTTTGTTATACACACATTCCTTCACATTTACATTTTAATGTGCATTAAAGTATTTCTGTGAGGCCTTCTAACATGTTTTTAATATAACTACGGTTGTAGTTGAATAGTTGTAAATTAACATGAACCGAAGCTGTTGCTTGGCAATCTCAATGGCACAACGTCACGTCCGTTAATTCCACATCCACACGCATGGATTACCATCGATTTAATACATTAATGTAGCCTTTGTTTATGCTAAAAGAGGGGTGTCGACCAGCTGGGGGCAACAAGAAAATCGCTGTAATCGAGTGTGACTATTACAAAATAAATCATTACGTCGGGGGTAGCATTTGCTTGGTATTTCCGGTTATTTCTCCACTGGTTAACATGTGTTAACAATACCGTGTAGCTGTCACGCTTTTCACGTTTTGAAAATACGAAACCGTGACATCTTCACGTCTCCCAGCAATGGTAAAGCGTCACATGTTCACGTCTCACCGTGATACCGGGTTGAGCCTATCGGCCAACCGGCGATGACGACAGTATGTTACTTAATAAAACACCCTATGCATTTAATGTTATTTTGGACCATTATTCATATAGTAATCACATTACCTGAGCCCTTGAACTATAGAGCAAAATAGTTACAGCATATATTTATTGATTTTAATGTTAACAGATCATTGATGCAATAACATTTGGACCCCAATTTGCCTGACTTGACGCATGGAATAAAACATGGGCGTAGGAAGCATCCTCAATGTGGGTGAGACAATTTAACAGGGGGTGTGGGCAGGTGGTGGACCTCACCTCCTCTAGGGGGGTCCGGGGGCATGCTCCCCTGGGAAGATTTTGTTTTTAAATGTTGAAGTTAAATGCATCAATCTGGTGCACTTTGAGAGCAAATTAGGGACTAAATCTATGGATACATCTCTCAACACCCATATGAAACAGAACTGTAAACAGATTTACTTTTTCTTTCAACATTTATTTGAACAGCAAGTGGAGGCAAAAGTGACTGCCACCCCAAAACATTAAACCTGCTAGCTAACTAGCCTAAACTCAGTAACAGAATGTGGGCAACACGTTCTTCTCCACAGCTGCGCGACCTCTGAGTCAGACGTCACTTCCCCCTTTTCTATCCTACGGGTGCCACTCCCCCTGAACCCCGTTTCCCTGCCAGTTTTTTTCCTTAGAATACACCTTTAATTCTGTAACAAAAAAATAAAAATAAAATCTCCAGAAAAAAATGAACAGATGAGTTATCCAACCACATTAATTTTAATAAATATGAAATACATTGTTATTTACTTTTTACATGGGAAGACTGCCCTTCATATTGCCCTCCACCTCCTCTCCTCTTCCTCTCATTTTCTCCCTCTAAAAACTAAAATAACAATTAAAAACTTAAAGTCGTACAAATAATAATAATAATTCCTTACATTTATTATAGCGCTTTTCCAGATGCTCAAAGCGCTTTTACAAATACACATTACACATAATCATACATGCAATGGGACAACTGTGGACAATACCCACAGGACCAAGTTCAGGTGAAGTGTCTTGCCCAAGGACACAATGGCTTTACAGACGTAGCAGCGGCAGGTTTCACCCCTTGATCTGATGATCATTGCACAGCGCACTGCGCCACACCGTCCATCTTCACGCCTCGAAGTCATCGAGGCGCTTTTACAAGTACACATTGATATCATACATGTACTGTGGACATTACCCACAGGAGCAAATCCGGGTGAAGTGTCTTGCCCAAGGACACAACGGCCTGACGCAGTGGCGGCAGGAGCGGGTTTCGAACTGGAGTTCCCCAGCACTCCCCTTGATCTGATGATCAGATGCACAGACCACTGCGCCACCCCGTTCACAAATGAACTCAATTTAACGAAACGTGGTGATAACATTAAATGATGCATACCTTTTTTTGTGAGAGGTCAAACTTAATTATTGCCTCCTCCCTTCCTCTCCTCATTTCCTCTCAGGTCTCTAAAAGATAAAAGGAAAACATGTTAAATCTTCAAATAACACGTGAACAGAACTTGGTGAAATCTAGTATGAGTATTTGACCTTCTTTACATGAGAAGTCATGCCTAGTTTTGCCCCTCCACCTCCTCTCCTACCCTCTCCTCTCTAAAAATAAAAACAAGTGATGTTAGAATCTTCAAAAATAACGTTGTGAACCTTTATATATACAGTCTATGGTGTGAACAGATGAACTGAACTTCCTGAAATCTAGAAACAAAAGATTGAATAACTTGGTTTTTACCTTTTTTGCATGTGAAGTTTCTACAAACGTAAATAACTTTGTGAAATCTAGAAATGATATTGGATATCTTGATTATTACCATGTTGTTTGTGACATGTCACTCTTAATTTGGCCTCCCTCCTCCTCTCCTCTTCTTTCCTCCCCTCTGGAAAAACAACAACACATGCAAACACTGTTAAAAACAAGTAGTACGAATGAAAATGTTAAAATGATATTTACCTTTAATAATGAGAGGGTTCCCACATGCCCCTCTCTCATATTTTCTCTTCTCGTATTCCTCGTCTTCCCTTAGTGTTTCTTCTCTACTCTTCTCTGCTGTGATCCTTTTCATCTCTCCTCTGTGCTCTTCAAACCTCTATTTCTGATTGAATAACCCTTTTATCCCATTTTAACTAGGGATGCACCGAATATTCGGCCACCGAAAATTATCGGCCGAAAATGGTTAAAAAGGCCCTTTCGGCTTTCGGCCGAAAGGGTTTTAGCACCGAAAAAATATCACCGAATGTCAGAACAGGCTTACGTTGGTAACCTAACGTGTTGTTGTGATGACGTAATAAAGACGCGGCGACCATGCTCGCGGCTGGCTCACAGGGGGGGGGGAACATTGACCTTTGTCATCGAGATTGCCCTGAGCCTTTCACAAATCGTATTAAATAATCTGATGACAGAACTGTAAACAGAATAGCTGAAATTTTAACAAACTAAATAACTCAGTTACCTCTAATCATTAACCCATGTTTGTATCATGTAGTTAACTCCGTGTAGCTGCTAGCATACATAACACCTGACGTGGAAACGTTACTCGTGGATGGGGCTACAGAGCTGCTAGAAAGACGGTCGAACCCGGTACATTCCTCCGTCTGCATGCGGTGCACTTTTGCTAAATGTTTAGACAAATTGCTCGTGCGCCCTTACATGCTAAACTCTTATTGCACTTATGGTAACAAGTATTCTCCACATCGAGACGGGTAAAGTTTAACCACACCTCGGAGCGCGTTCTCTCCGCCATCTCCGCAGTGTGCTCCGCTGCATGTAGCAGCTGCGTGTGTGTAAACTGCCCCGCCCCCTCGCACACAGACGGGGGAGAGAGATCTCGTCTGATCGAAAATACATCATAGACGCATTTGTTGTCTTTGCATATTAGAAACGAGTTGGCGACACTAAGACTGCGATATAATGTTTTTTAGCAATAATACATGACATATATAAATGTACTGTATGCATTCAAAAGTGCTGAATAAATGTTTTATGGACCCATAATAGTGATTATTATTTTAAGTTAAGTTTTGCCATAATCATGTCTATTTCCATAATCAGGTAGCTGAACAACATTGGTAAAAAATGTATACATATATATATATATATTTCTATTAATCATTTTCGGCCTTTCGGCATTCGGTTTTCGGCCAACTGTTTCCTATTTTCGGTATCGGTTTCGGCCCAAGAATTTCCCATTCGGTGCACCCCCTAATTTTAACCCTTTCAATGTTTGTTTTTACCATTTTTAAACACCTTGTTGCTGATCTTACTATCACAGTTTGTACCACTACAGTTACTGTCCCCCCCTCCCTTCCCCAGTGTGGCCCCTGCCCTGAGGCCCTTGTCTCTGCAGACTCTTCTTGGCTGGGGTGGCCCTCGACAGACATATGGACCGCTATGACATGGTGTCGCCATCCTTTTCCTTCTCTGCACAGGGGGGCTTCACTGAGGGGGTGAAACACGTTGGAGGTTCACACTGTCCCCCCCAGATCCCCCCCACTCTGTGCAGACACCCTGCCTGAGTAATGGACCGGCAACAAGGATTCTAACCAGAGCAGGGTCCTTACATCTGATACACTTTCATTTAATTCAGTTCAATCCAATACTTACCGTTCACATTTAAAAATAGTTCATGTCAAAGCAATGCAATTTAAAAAAAAATGAATTCATCAAATTTAAATATTTTTAGGTTCAAATCATTTCGACTGAATTGAACTCAATTAAATGAGAAAATACTTACCCGTTCAAATCATTTAAACAAAAACGAATTGTTTTTTTAATTATTCAATTCAATTTGAACAGCTTACATTTCGATAAATGTAATTTAATTGAAATCAATTAACTCAAATTCAAATCAATTCAATTTTAAGAAATACAATATAAACAAATGTTACTCTATTTAGCCGGGGGAAAAAAACATGTAGAAATTAAGTGGAAGGACAGAAGCGCTTAGCAGCACCGTTACCTGCTGACATACCTGCAGCCTCGGCTCCTCTCTTGCGCCATCTGCTGCCCACCTGGCTCCTCTTCTTCATCAGAAGTCGGGCGCTCTTCATCCACTGCTGCTCCGGGACCTTCCTCACCGGTAGAGGCTCACGGGGGGGCTCGGGTCGGGGGGGAAGAGCCGGACCGCTGCGGCCACTGGAGGACGATCCTGGTGGGATGAGCACACGGCACCAGAGACCAGCCCTCCTCGGGAACAGGTGGGGAGGGTCTGCAGGAGAGGACAGGGGAGGAGGAGCAAGAAAAGCAAGAGCAAGAAGAAAAGCGAGAGGGAAGAGCTAGAGGATGAGGTAGAGGAGGAGGAAGAGCTAGAGCGAGAGGAAGAGCGAGAGGAGGAGGAGGAGGAGGAGGAGGAGGAGGAGGAGGAGGAGGAGGAGGAGGAGGAGGAGGAGGAGGAGGAGGAGGAGGAGGAGGAGCCAGGGTCAGACTTACCTTCATCCACAGCGCCTCTCCTGCTCCCCCTGCTGCCAGCCTGGTCCCTCCTCTTCATCAGAAGCCTCAGGTTCTTCTTCCACTTCGGCTCAGGGGCGGGGCCAGCTGGGGGGCCAAGGTGGGAGCCGGGGGAGGAGCTGCAGACCACCCTGAAGGGGGTGCGAGAAGAAGAAGTGTTAGATCCAGAGGCAGCTGTACCTGGGGAGCCAGGTGAGGAGCCACTCTGGGAGGGGGGGGGCTGGGGTCCTGCGCAGGATGAGGCGGGGCCGGCTGGGGTCTGGCAGGAGGACCGCTGTCCACTTGTAGTGCCGGTCCATCTGAAGGTAAAAATAAATACAACAATCAGACCACTGCTCCACGTCATGACGACACACCAGCGAGGGTTACACAATAATCACTCTCTCATCACATACTGAATTAAAAGGAGGACAATGCAATAATACATTGTTCAAACAAGCGCTGCAGAAAGTGAAACAGACATGAGAGCGTTTTACTGAAATATGAGCTAAAGAAAGGAAGCTTGCAAGAAACAGCCATGGCTGTAATGTGCAAACTTTTTAAAAACATGTCTTGCCTTTACTTTTCTCAAGGACAATAAATCCATATGTGTTTATAGTAATTGTGTAAAATATGTGATGTTTAGCTTCTGGAAAGCGTTCGCCCTTCTTACCGTGGTTCTCAGTGGACTGAATGAAGCGGAGCCAGGTGCTGCTGGGATCCTGCGAAGGATGAGCTGCCCACTTGTTTGCTTGGACCAACTGAAGGTGATAAACACAACACATCAGGTTAATATACCATGGAGTGTTAACACCAGAATCACTTCCACATATTGAATTCAAAGGATCAATATTGCAATGCCAAAACGTAAAGAACATGCACGAAAACTAAACACGAGCAAGAGTAAAGAGTGTTTGCAGTATCAAATAGTAGTAAAGTCCCAAATGGATGCATTTGTTTCACACTTTCTTTGCATTGCCTTACAAATGTTAACATGTTGCTGGAACAAGGCATAAAGAAAGCAAACTGTGAAAAAGAAGCATGCTTCAGGCTGAAAAAAGGACTCAAGAATGCACCAACTTTTGTCTCAATACATCTGAATTTATGAGAACATATTTAGAAAATGTTATTTCTAATCCTAGTTTGTACTGCTATGTCTCAATGCTTTTTTACAGTGAGGTTTACATTAAGCAGGCTTATATAACTTTCACAGAGGCAAAATTACGCCACAATTTCTTCAACAATATGTTCATTTAAGCTCTCCTACTAATTGACAATAGCATGTAAATATACATCTATTTCTGTTGCAGCTATTTCACTTAATCTACTCTGATCAAGAAACGAGGACAATCGTGAATATCAGTCATATATATTCAATAAAAAGGATAAAATAATGTTTTAACTTGTAAGCTTGTTTCAGTTATGGTTTATTGCACTACAAAGAAAAAGGTAAAATCAACATACGTTAGCATGCTAACTTTTTCAACAGGTGAAACGGTTGGTCAGTATTTTGTCACAACAGGATTATTACACTCTAATTTGATTAATTAACAATAAAAATAGAAGAAATTGTCAATATCTTCAGATATATCGGTGATTTTGTACGGGGTTTGGAGAGCGTCAGTGGTAAAATGCATTGAAAACAACATGGGTGAAAAAAGTGAATAAATGTCACATCTAACCCGAAAAACGTCCTGTACGTTTTGACAGTAGGGTTTAGGGAGAGGTCCGGAAGCAAAACGTATCAGGTTTAAGGGTTTGTTTTCAGAGAAATTGTCGAGTGAGAGCAGAAATGTTGAGTTTCTGACCGTCAGGAAGTTTGTGTTTGTTCAAACTAAGAGCATGAACCTGGAGAGCCTGCATAGCAACCACGGAACCCTCAAGTCTCGCTCAGAGCTCTCGTGAGGCCAGGTCATATTGTTGTTACATTTAATTTAATATAACTATAATAGAAATATCTAGCGTAGGAGCATCACATCAAAACACTCCTAGAACTAGACTCATTGTCTCCTGATATAAACGAAACTGAAGACGATGTGCACAAGCAAAGTTGAACAAATCTGAAAAATAATGCGACCATGAATAAATGAGCCACTTATTGCAAAAACAACGTTCGTTTGAATGAATATCACTAACCTTGATCTTTTAGTGTCCATGACAGCACCTGGGCCTCCTGTAATACAATTTCCTCTAATGATACAGTTTGAGAAACACACTAGACGATTTGGAGAGTAAGTGAAAAAAAATAACACATTCTTATCTGCCGTAGCCTGTTGACTGGTCCGCATTTAGTCTTTCTTCATTTACATGTGAACATAGATTAGATCTACACGCAGGGGCGGACTGGGGGGGAAAAGTGGCCCGGGTATTAATTGACAGACAGGCCCACTTAATGCGCAGCATGTAGCCTATCCAACCCGGTATCACGGTGAGACGTGAACATGTAACGCTTTACCATTGCTGGGAGACGTGAAGATGTCACGGTTTCGTATTTTCAAAACGTGAAAAGCGTGACAGCTACACGGTATTGTTAACCCATGTTAACCAGTGGAGAAATAACCGGAAATACCAAGCAAATGCTACCCCGACGTAATGATTTATTTTTTAATAGTCACACTCGATTACAGCGATTTTCTTGTTGCCCCAGCTGGTCGACACCTCTTTTAGCATAAACAAAGGCTACATTAATGTATTAAATCTATGTTAATCCATGCGTGTGGATGTGGAATTAACGGACGTGACGTTGTGCGATTGAGTTGCCAAGCAACAGCTTCGGTTCATGTTAATTTACAAACTATTCAACTACAACCGTAGTTATATTTAAAAACATGTTAGAAGGCCTCACGAAATACTTTAATGCACATTAAAATGTAAATGTGAAGGAATGTGTGTATAACAAAATACATCGGTCATTAAACGAAACCGGAAACAGACGTAGGCAAGATCCTCAGCTCGATGATTGGATGGTTATCCGCAATGCATGCTGGGATTTGGTGTTTATGTGATGTGAAATCTGAAAACGTTTTTAAAAAATACAATAATACTTTATTCCGAGTGTGCTTGCTTTTCTCTTTGAAAGTCATCACATAACGGCATTGTAATACACGGATCGGCTGCATTAAATATTACATATCTGCCGTAATTCTCTATTTATAGAGCCCTGATGAGAAGACTTCTAGACAAACATGAGGCACTGAAAACGTGACGTGGATCATAAATATATAAGCAATTAAACAACATCTTACATTTATTTTCCCACAATACTTCTCCTTGCAGTATCAACACTAATTCGGCTGACTTTTATATTTGATCCAATTGGTAGATAGGCTGTATTTACACCATAACCGTGCAGAGCTGATAGAAAGGGACACCTGGTGGTCAAAGCACGTTATTGAATTGTATTATTTTATTATTAGATATTAATAGGAGGATGTGCAAAACAGACAAACTAATAAGGCTTAATTTAAACATTAAAGAGTACTTTAGGTTAAGGTCTTATTTTGAATAAGAAAAAAGCTTTAAGAAGAATATGGAGGGATGAAACCCTCTTGAAACCGCAGGTCCTTCCTTCCTGCAGCGGTCAGACTTTACAACCAGCACTGCCCCTTGTAGACCCTCACACCACAACACAGACTATAACACCCCTTGCTGCTAAATACAAACCAACTTTGTGCAATATGTGCAATATATATATGCCATTAATAACTGTGTAATTTATACCTGGCCACTAAATCAATATATATGCCGTTTTGTTTTTGATCTGTATTTTTGAAAATTATGTAACTTTTTATCTTTTTTTTAGCATATTGTTTAATATATTATAACTTAGTACTTTTTTAGCATATTGTTTATTTTATTCTAACTTAGTACTTTTTTAACGCATGTAAGATATGCAACACTAAGCTGTCTGTGGCTCTTTCCTGCTGTAACGCTGCACATTTCCCCTCTGTGGAACTAATAAAGGTATTCTGATTCTGATTCTTTAATGGTCACACATGCAGAGCACACAGCACACACAGTGACATTTGTATCTACAGATAAATATTAAGCCTGACAAAGTACTTAACGTCTAATATATTGCTTTCCTGCAATGTTAACTATGTTTAAGCACTTATTTGTTTATTATTTGTTTATTATTAAACTGATATTATACATATGTATTATACTCTTATAAGATGTATGTAGATAGTATAAGAAATGTGCAGAATGACAGTTTAATGGTGGAGTATAAACACATATTGATAGATGTCTTGTAATGCACTGTTGAGGAACCTGCGACCCAAGTTTTTCATTCATTGCATAACTACACAGTAGTTGTGTATAATATGATATGTCAATAAACCTTAGCTTATAAAATCTTGAAATCTTGAAAGGGATGTTCAAACTAGTCATTATATACAGTCTTTAATGAACTATTAGTAGAGAATAACGAGTAATGAATATACTTTATAGAGATCCTATTAATATCTAATAATAAAATAATACAATTCAATAACGTGCTTTGACCACCAGGTGTCCCTTTCTATCAGCTCTGCACGGTTATGGTTTAAATACAGCCTATCTACCAATTGGATCAAATATAAAAGTCAGCCGAATTAGTGTTGATACTGCAAGGAGACGCATTGTGTGAAAAGAAATGTAAGATGTTGTATAATTGCTTATATATTTATGATCAACGTCACGTATTCAGTTTTGGCGGCAGTTCTCATGTTTTGTCTAGAAGTCTTCTCAGCATAAATAGAGAACTACGGCAGATATGTAATATTTAATGCAGCCGAACCGTGTATTACAATGCCGTTATGTGATGACTTTCAAAGAGTAAAGCAAGCACACTCGGAATAAAGTATTATTGTATTTTTAAAAAACGTTTTCAGATTTCACATCACATAAACACCAAATCCCAGCATGCATTACGGATAACCATCCAATCATCGAGCTGAGGATCTTGCCTACGTCTGTTTCCGGTTTCGTTTAATGACCGATGTATTTTGTTATACACACATTCCTTCACATTTACATTTTAATGTGCATTAAAGTATTTCGTGAGGCCTTCTAACATGTTTTTAAATATAACTACGGTTGTAGTTGAATAGTTTGTAAATTAACATGAACCGAAGCTGTTGCTTGGCAACTCAATGGCACAACGTCACGTCCGTTAATTCCACATCCACACGCATGGATTAACATCGATTTAATACATTAATGTAGCCTTTGTTTATGCTAAAAGAGGTGTCGACCAGCTGGGGCAACAAGAAAATCGCTGTAATCGAGTGTGACTATTACAAAATAAATCATTACGTCGGGGTAGCATTTGCTTGGTATTTCCGGTTATTTCTCCACTGGTTAACATGGGTTAACAATACCGTGTAGCTGTCACGCTTTTCACGTTTTGAAAATACGAAACCGTGACATCTAATGTTATTTTGGACCATTATTCATATAGTAATCACATTACCTGAGCCCTTGAACTATAGAGCAAAATAGTTACAGCATATATTTATTGATTTTAATGTTAACAGATCATTGATGCAATAACATTTGGACCCAATTTGCCTGACTTGACGCATGGAATAAAACATGGGCGTAGGAAGCATCCTCAATGTGGGTGAGACAATTTAACAGGGGGTGTGGGCAGGTGGTGGACCTCACCTCCTCTAGGGGGGTCCGGGGGCATGCTCCCCTGGGAAGATTTTGTTTTAAATGTTGAAGTTAAATGCATCAATCTGGTGCACTTTGAGAGCAAAATTAGGGACTAAATCTATGGATACATCTCTCAACACCCATATGAAACAGAACTGTAAACAGATTTACTTTTTCTTTCAACATTTATTTGAACAGCAAGTGGAGGCAAAAGTGACTGCACCCAAAACATTAAACCTGCTAGCTAACTAGCCTAAACTCAGTAACAGAATGTGGGCAACACGTTCTTCTCCACAGCTGCGCGACCTCTGAGTCAGACGTCACTTCCCCCTTTTCTATCCTACGGGTGCCACTCCCCCTGAACCCCGTTTCCCTGCCAGTTTTTTTCCTTAGAATACACCTTTAATTCTGTAACAAAAAAATAAAAATAAAATCTCCAGAAAAAAATGAACAGATGAGTTATCCAACCACATTAATTTTAATAAAATATGAAATACATTGTTATTTACTTTTTACATGGGAAAGACTGCCCTTCATATTGCCCTCCACCTCCTCTCCTCTTCCTCTCATTTTCTCCCTCTAAAAACTAAAATAACAATTAAAAACTTAAAAGTCGTACAAATAATAATAATAATTCCTTACATTTATTATAGCGCTTTTCCAGATGCTCAAAGCGCTTTTACAAATACACATTACACATAATCATACATGCAATGGGACAACTGTGGACAATACCCACAGGACCAAGTTCAGGTGAAGTGTCTTGCCCAAGGACACAATGGCTTTACAGACGTAGCAGCGGCAGGTTTCACCCCTTGATCTGATGATCATTGCACAGCGCACTGCGCCACACCGTCCATCTTCACGCCTCGAAGTCATCGAGGCGCTTTTACAAGTACACATTGATATCATACATGTACTGTGGACATTACCCACAGGAGCAAATCCGGGTGAAGTGTCTTGCCCAAGGACACAACGGCCTGACGCAGTGGCGGCAGGAGCGGGTTTCGAACTGGAGTTCCCCAGCACTCCCCTTGATCTGATGATCAGATGCACAGACCACTGCGCCACCCCGTTCACAAATGAACTCAATTTAACGAAACGTGGTGATAACATTAAATGATGCATACCTTTTTTTGTGAGAGGTCAAACTTAATTATTGCCTCCTCCCTTCCTCTCCTCATTTCCTCTCAGGTCTCTAAAAGATAAAAGGAAAACATGTTAAAATCTTCAAATAACACGTGAACAGAACTTGGTGAAATCTAGTATGAGTATTTGACCTTCTTTACATGAGAAGTCATGCCTAGTTTTGCCCCTCCACCTCCTCTCCTACCCTCTCCTCTCTAAAAATAAAAACAAGTGATGTTAGAATCTTCAAAAATAACGTGTGAACCTTTATATATACAGTCTATGGTGTGAACAGATGAACTGAACTTCCTGAAATCTAGAAACAAAAGATTGAATAACTTGGTTTTTACCTTTTTTGCATGTGAAGTTTCTACAAACGTAAATAACTTTGTGAAATCTAGAAATGATATTGGATATCTTGATTATTACCATGTTGTTTGTGACATGTCACTCTTAATTTGGCCTCCCTCCTCCTCTCCTCTTCTTTCCTCCCCTCTGGAAAAACAACAACACATGCAAACACTGTTAAAAACAAGTAGTACGAATGAAAATGTTAAAATGATATTTACCTTTAATAATGAGAGGGTTCCCACATGCCCCTCTCTCATATTTTCTCTTCTCGTATTCCTCGTCTTCCCTTAGTGTTTCTTCTCTACTCTTCTCTGCTGTGATCCTTTTCATCTCTCCTCTGTGCTCTTCAAACCTCTATTTCTGATTGAATAACCCTTTTATCCCATTTTAACCCTTTCAATGTTTGTTTTTACCATTTTTAAACACCTTGTTGCTGATCTTACTATCACAGTTTGTACCACTACAGTTACTGTCCCCCCCTCCCTTCCCCAGTGTGGCCCCTGCCCTGAGGCCCTTGTCTCTGCAGACTCTTCTTGGCTGGGGTGGCCCTCGACAGACATATGGACCGCTATGACATGGTGTCGCCATCCTTTTCCTTCTCTGCACAGGGGGGCTTCACTGAGGGGGTGAAACACGTTGGAGGTTCACACTGTCCCCCCCAGATCCCCCCCACTCTGTGCAGACACCCTGCCTGAGTAATGGACCGGCAACAAGGATTCTAACCAGAGCAGGGTCCTTACATCTGATACACTTTCATTTAATTCAGTTCAATCCAATACTTACCGTTCACATTTAAAAATAGTTCATGTCAAAGCAATGCAATTTAAAAAAAAATGAATTCATCAAATTTAAATATTTTTAGGTTCAAATCATTTCGACTGAATTGAACTCAATTAAATGAGAAAATACTTACCCGTTCAAATCATTTAAACAAAAACGAATTGTTTTTTTAATTATTCAATTCAATTTGAACAGCTTACATTTCGATAAATGTAATTTAATTGAAATCAATTAACTCAAATTCAAATCAATTCAATTTTAAGAAATACAATATAAACAAATGTTACTCTATTTAGCCGGGGGAAAAAAACATGTAGAAATTAAGTGGAAGGACAGAAGCGCTTAGCAGCACCGTTACCTGCTGACATACCTGCAGCCTCGGCTCCTCTCTTGCGCCATCTGCTGCCCACCTGGCTCCTCTTCTTCATCAGAAGTCGGGCGCTCTTCATCCACTGCTGCTCCGGGACCTTCCTCACCGGTAGAGGCTCACGGGGGGGCTCGGGTCGGGGGGAAGAGCCGGACCGCTGCGGCCACTGGAGGACGATCCTGGTGGGATGAGCACACGGCACCAGAGACCAGCCCTCCTCGGGAACAGGTGGGGAGGGTCTGCAGGAGAGGACAGGGGAGGAGGAGCAAGAAAAGCAAGAGCAAGAAGAAAAGCGAGAGGAAGAGCTAGAGGATGAGGTAGAGGAGGAGGAAGAGCTAGAGCGAGAGGAAGAGCGAGAGGAGGAGGAGGAGGAGGAGGAGGAGGAGGAGGAGGAGGAGGAGGAGGAGGAGGAGGAGGAGGAGGAGGAGGAGGAGGAGGAGGAGGAGGAGGAGGAGGAGGAGGAGCCAGGGTCAGACTTACCTTCATCCACAGCGCCTCTCCTGCTCCCCCTGCTGCCAGCCTGGTCCCTCCTCTTCATCAGAAGCCTCAGGTTCTTCTTCCACTTCGGCTCAGGGGCGGGGCCAGCTGGGGGGCCAAGGTGGGAGCCGGGGGAGGAGCTGCAGACCACCCTGAAGGGGGTGCGAGAAGAAGAAGTGTTAGATCCAGAGGCAGCTGTACCTGGGGAGCCAGGTGAGGAGCCACTCTGGGAGGGGGGGGCTGGGGTCCTGCGCAGGATGAGGCGGGGCCGGCTGGGGTCTGGCAGGAGGACCGCTGTCCACTTGTAGTGCCGGTCCATCTGAAGGTAAAAATAAATACAACAATCAGACCACTGCTCCACGTCATGACGACACACCAGCGAGGGTTACACAATAATCACTCTCTCATCACATACTGAATTAAAAGGAGGACAATGCAATAATACATTGTTCAAACAAGCGCTGCAGAAAGTGAAACAGACATGAGAGCGTTTTACTGAAATATGAGCTAAAGAAAGGAAGCTTGCAAGAAACAGCCATGGCTGTAATGTGCAAACTTTTTAAAAACATGTCTTGCCTTTACTTTTCTCAAGGACAATAAATCCATATGTGTTTATAGTAATTGTGTAAAATATGTGATGTTTAGCTTCTGGAAAGCGTTCGCCCTTCTTACCGTGGTTCTCAGTGGACTGAATGAAGCGGAGCCAGGTGCTGCTGGGATCCTGCGAAGGATGAGCTGCCCACTTGTTTGCTTGGACCAACTGAAGGTGATAAACACAACACATCAGGTTAATATACCATGGAGTGTTAACACCAGAATCACTTCCACATATTGAATTCAAAGGATCAATATTGCAATGCCAAAACGTAAAGAACATGCACGAAAACTAAACACGAGCAAGAGTAAAGAGTGTTTGCAGTATCAAATAGTAGTAAAGTCCCAAATGGATGCATTTGTTTCACACTTTCTTTGCATTGCCTTACAAATGTTAACATGTTGCTGGAACAAGGCATAAAGAAAGCAAACTGTGAAAAAGAAGCATGCTTCAGGCTGAAAAAAGGACTCAAGAATGCACCAACTTTTGTCTCAATACATCTGAATTTATGAGAACATATTTAGAAAATGTTATTTCTAATCCTAGTTTGTACTGCTATGTCTCAATGCTTTTTTACAGTGAGGTTTACATTAAGCAGGCTTATATAACTTTCACAGAGGCAAAATTACGCCACAATTTCTTCAACAATATGTTCATTTAAGCTCTCCTACTAATTGACAATAGCATGTAAATATACATCTATTTCTGTTGCAGCTATTTCACTTAATCTACTCTGATCAAGAAACGAGGACAATCGTGAATATCAGTCATATATATTCAATAAAAAGGATAAAATAATGTTTTAACTTGTAAGCTTGTTTCAGTTATGGTTTATTGCACTACAAAGAAAAAGGTAAAATCAACATACGTTAGCATGCTAACTTTTTCAACAGGTGAAACGGTTGGTCAGTATTTTGTCACAACAGGATTATTACACTCTAATTTGATTAATTAACAATAAAAATAGAAGAAATTGTCAATATCTTCAGATATATCGGTGATTTTGTACGGGGTTTGGAGAGCGTCAGTGGTAAAATGCATTGAAAACAACATGGGTGAAAAAAGTGAATAAATGTCACATCTAACCCGAAAAACGTCCTATACGTTTTGACAGTAGGGTTTAGGGAGAGGTCCGGAAGCAAAACGTATCAGGTTTAAGGGTTTGTTTTCAGAGAAATTGTCGAGTGAGAGCAGAAATGTTGAGTTTCTGACCGTCAGGAAGTTTGTGTTTGTTCAAACTAAGAGCATGAACCTGGAGAGCCTGCATAGCAACCACGGAACCCTCAAGTCTCGCTCAGAGCTCTCGTGAGGCCAGGTCATATTGTTGTTACATTTAATTTAATATAACTATAATAGAAATATCTAGCGTAGGAGCATCACATCAAAACACTCCTAGAACTAGACTCATTGTCTCCTGATATAAACGAAACTGAAGACGATGTGCACAAGCAAAGTTGAACAAATCTGAAAAATAATGCGACCATGAATAAATGAGCCACTTATTGCAAAAACAACGTTCGTTTGAATGAATATCACTAACCTTGATCTTTTAGTGTCCATGACAGCACCTGGGCCTCCTGTAATACAATTTCCTCTAATGATACAGTTTGAGAAACACACTAGACGATTTGGAGAGTAAGTGAAAAAAAATAACACATTCTTATCTGCCGTAGCCTGTTGACTGGTCCGCATTTAGTCTTTCTTCATTTACATGTGAACATAGATTAGATCTACACGCAGGGGCGGACTGGGGGGGAAAAGTGGCCCGGGTATTAATTGACAGACAGGCCCACTTAATGCGCAGCATGTAGCCTATCCAACCCGGTATCACGGTGAGACGTGAACATGTAACGCTTTACCATTGCTGGGAGACGTGAAGATGTCACGGTTTCGTATTTTCAAAACGTGAAAAGCGTGACAGCTACACGGTATTGTTAACCCATGTTAACCAGTGGAGAAATAACCGGAAATACCAAGCAAATGCTACCCCGACGTAATGATTTATTTTTTAATAGTCACACTCGATTACAGCGATTTTCTTGTTGCCCCAGCTGGTCGACACCTCTTTTAGCATAAACAAAGGCTACATTAATGTATTAAATCTATGTTAATCCATGCGTGTGGATGTGGAATTAACGGACGTGACGTTGTGCGATTGAGTTGCCAAGCAACAGCTTCGGTTCATGTTAATTTACAAACTATTCAACTACAACCGTAGTTATATTTAAAAACATGTTAGAAGGCCTCACGAAATACTTTAATGCACATTAAAATGTAAATGTGAAGGAATGTGTGTATAACAAAATACATCGGTCATTAAACGAAACCGGAAACAGACGTAGGCAAGATCCTCAGCTCGATGATTGGATGGTTATCCGCAATGCATGCTGGGATTTGGTGTTTATGTGATGTGAAATCTGAAAACGTTTTTAAAAAATACAATAATACTTTATTCCGAGTGTGCTTGCTTTTCTCTTTGAAAGTCATCACATAACGGCATTGTAATACACGGATCGGCTGCATTAAATATTACATATCTGCCGTAATTCTCTATTTATAGAGCCCTGATGAGAAGACTTCTAGACAAACATGAGGCACTGAAAACGTGACGTGGATCATAAATATATAAGCAATTAAACAACATCTTACATTTATTTTCCCACAATACTTCTCCTTGCAGTATCAACACTAATTCGGCTGACTTTTATATTTGATCCAATTGGTAGATAGGCTGTATTTACACCATAACCGTGCAGAGCTGATAGAAAGGGACACCTGGTGGTCAAAGCACGTTATTGAATTGTATTATTTTATTATTAGATATTAATAGGAGGATGTGCAAAACAGACAAACTAATAAGGCTTAATTTAAACATTAAAGAGTACTTTAGGTTAAGGTCTTATTTTGAATAAGAAAAAAGCTTTAAGAAGAATATGGAGGGATGAAACCCTCTTGAAACCGCAGGTCCTTCCTTCCTGCAGCGGTCAGACTTTACAACCAGCACTGCCCCTTGTAGACCCTCACACCACAACACAGACTATAACACCCCTTGCTGCTAAATACAAACCAACTTTGTGCAATATGTGCAATATATATATGCCATTAATAACTGTGTAATTTATACCTGGCCACTAAATCAATATATATGCCGTTTTGTTTTTGATCTGTATTTTTGAAAATTATGTAACTTTTTATCTTTTTTTTAGCATATTGTTTAATATATTATAACTTAGTACTTTTTTAGCATATTGTTTATTTTATTCTAACTTAGTACTTTTTTAACGCATGTAAGATATGCAACACTAAGCTGTCTGTGGCTCTTTCCTGCTGTAACGCTGCACATTTCCCCTCTGTGGAACTAATAAAGGTATTCTGATTCTGATTCTTTAATGGTCACACATGCAGAGCACACAGCACACACAGTGACATTTGTATCTACAGATAAATATTAAGCCTGACAAAGTACTTAACGTCTAATATATTGCTTTCCTGCAATGTTAACTATGTTTAAGCACTTATTTGTTTATTATTTGTTTATTATTAAACTGATATTATACATATGTATTATACTCTTATAAGATGTATGTAGATAGTATAAGAAATGTGCAGAATGACAGTTTAATGGTGGAGTATAAACACATATTGATAGATGTCTTGTAATGCACTGTTGAGGAACCTGCGACCCAAGTTTTTCATTCATTGCATAACTACACAGTAGTTGTGTATAATATGATATGTCAATAAACCTTAGCTTATAAAATCTTGAAATCTTGAAAGGGATGTTCAAACTAGTCATTATATACAGTCTTTAATGAACTATTAGTAGAGAATAACGAGTAATGAATATACTTTATAGAGATCCTATTAATATCTAATAATAAAATAATACAATTCAATAACGTGCTTTGACCACCAGGTGTCCCTTTCTATCAGCTCTGCACGGTTATGGTTTAAATACAGCCTATCTACCAATTGGATCAAATATAAAAGTCAGCCGAATTAGTGTTGATACTGCAAGGAGACGCATTGTGTGAAAAGAAATGTAAGATGTTGTATAATTGCTTATATATTTATGATCAACGTCACGTATTCAGTTTTGGCGGCAGTTCTCATGTTTTGTCTAGAAGTCTTCTCAGCATAAATAGAGAACTACGGCAGATATGTAATATTTAATGCAGCCGAACCGTGTATTACAATGCCGTTATGTGATGACTTTCAAAGAGTAAAGCAAGCACACTCGGAATAAAGTATTATTGTATTTTTAAAAAACGTTTTCAGATTTCACATCACATAAACACCAAATCCCAGCATGCATTACGGATAACCATCCAATCATCGAGCTGAGGATCTTGCCTACGTCTGTTTCCGGTTTCGTTTAATGACCGATGTATTTTGTTATACACACATTCCTTCACATTTACATTTTAATGTGCATTAAAGTATTTCGTGAGGCCTTCTAACATGTTTTTAAATATAACTACGGTTGTAGTTGAATAGTTTGTAAATTAACATGAACCGAAGCTGTTGCTTGGCAACTCAATGGCACAACGTCACGTCCGTTAATTCCACATCCACACGCATGGATTAACATCGATTTAATACATTAATGTAGCCTTTGTTTATGCTAAAAGAGGTGTCGACCAGCTGGGGCAACAAGAAAATCGCTGTAATCGAGTGTGACTATTAAAAAATAAATCATTACGTCGGGGTAGCATTTGCTTGGTATTTCCGGTTATTTCTCCACTGGTTAACATGGGTTAACAATACCGTGTAGCTGTCACGCTTTTCACGTTTTGAAAATACGAAACCGTGACATCTTCACGTCTCCCAGCAATGGTAAAGCGTCACATGTTCACGTCTCACCGTGATACCGGGTTGAGCCTATCGGCCAACCGGCGACGACAGTATGTTACTTAATAAAACACCCTATGCATTTAATGTTATTTTGGACCATTATTCATATAGTAATCACATTACCTGAGCCCTTGAACTATAGAGCAAAATAGTTACAGCATATATTTATTGATTTTAATGTTAACAGATCATTGATGCAATAACATTTGGACCCAATTTGCCTGACTTGACGCATGGAATAAAACATGGGCGTAGGAAGCATCCTCAATGTGGGTGAGACAATTTAACAGGGGGTGTGGGCAGGTGGTGGACCTCACCTCCTCTAGGGGGGTCCGGGGGCATGCTCCCCTGGGAAGATTTTGTTTTAAATGTTGAAGTTAAATGCATCAATCTGGTGCACTTTGAGAGCAAAATTAGGGACTAAATCTATGGATACATCTCTCAACACCCATATGAAACAGAACTGTAAACAGATTTACTTTTTCTTTCAACATTTATTTGAACAGCAAGTGGAGGCAAAAGTGACTGCACCCAAAACATTAAACCTGCTAGCTAACTAGCCTAAACTCAGTAACAGAATGTGGGCAACACGTTCTTCTCCACAGCTGCGCGACCTCTGAGTCAGACGTCACTTCCCCCTTTTCTATCCTACGGGTGCCACTCCCCCTGAACCCCGTTTCCCTGCCAGTTTTTTTCCTTAGAATACACCTTTAATTCTGTAACAAAAAAATAAAAATAAAATCTCCAGAAAAAAATGAACAGATGAGTTATCCAACCACATTAATTTTAATAAAATATGAAATACATTGTTATTTACTTTTTACATGGGAAAGACTGCCCTTCATATTGCCCTCCACCTCCTCTCCTCTTCCTCTCATTTTCTCCCTCTAAAAACTAAAATAACAATTAAAAACTTAAAAGTCGTACAAATAATAATAATAATTCCTTACATTTATTATAGCGCTTTTCCAGATGCTCAAAGCGCTTTTACAAATACACATTACACATAATCATACATGCAATGGGACAACTGTGGACAATACCCACAGGACCAAGTTCAGGTGAAGTGTCTTGCCCAAGGACACAATGGCTTTACAGACGTAGCAGCGGCAGGTTTCACCCCTTGATCTGATGATCATTGCACAGCGCACTGCGCCACACCGTCCATCTTCACGCCTCGAAGTCATCGAGGCGCTTTTACAAGTACACATTGATATCATACATGTACTGTGGACATTACCCACAGGAGCAAATCCGGGTGAAGTGTCTTGCCCAAGGACACAACGGCCTGACGCAGTGGCGGCAGGAGCGGGTTTCGAACTGGAGTTCCCCAGCACTCCCCTTGATCTGATGATCAGATGCACAGACCACTGCGCCACCCCGTTCACAAATGAACTCAATTTAACGAAACGTGGTGATAACATTAAATGATGCATACCTTTTTTTGTGAGAGGTCAAACTTAATTATTGCCTCCTCCCTTCCTCTCCTCATTTCCTCTCAGGTCTCTAAAAGATAAAAGGAAAACATGTTAAAATCTTCAAATAACACGTGAACAGAACTTGGTGAAATCTAGTATGAGTATTTGACCTTCTTTACATGAGAAGTCATGCCTAGTTTTGCCCCTCCACCTCCTCTCCTACCCTCTCCTCTCTAAAAATAAAAACAAGTGATGTTAGAATCTTCAAAAATAACGTGTGAACCTTTATATATACAGTCTATGGTGTGAACAGATGAACTGAACTTCCTGAAATCTAGAAACAAAAGATTGAATAACTTGGTTTTTACCTTTTTTGCATGTGAAGTTTCTACAAACGTAAATAACTTTGTGAAATCTAGAAATGATATTGGATATCTTGATTATTACCATGTTGTTTGTGACATGTCACTCTTAATTTGGCCTCCCTCCTCCTCTCCTCTTCTTTCCTCCCCTCTGGAAAAACAACAACACATGCAAA